ATTTCCCCCCTGCCCTCACCTTGTCCCGCGTCTCCTGCGGGATGTGGTAGCGGCTGCTCCTCCCCAGGTATGATTTTGGGGTTTCTCAGGTATGAATTTGGGGTTTCCCAGGTACAAATCCGGGATTTCCCCCCTGCTCACCTTGTCCCGCGTCTCCTGCGGGATGTGGTAGCGGCTGCTCCTCTCCAGCTGCTCCTGGGCCCCGGCCCGTTTGTAGTCGCGGGCCAGGTCGCGCAGGCGCCGTTTGTAGCGCAGCTCGCGGCGCTCGGCCGCCGTCAGCGCCTCCTCCCCGAAGAGCAGCTCCTCGTCCTGGATCTCCTGCTCCAGCTCCTCCAGCTTCTCCCGCTCCCGCTTGGCCAGGTACTCGCGGCGCGAGCGCTTGCGCAGCTCGGGGATCTGCGGGAGGGAGAAAACGGGGAGAAAACGGGGAGAAAATGGGGTGAAATGGGAGAAAACGGGGAGAAAATGGGGTGAAATGGGAGAAAATGGGGCAAAATAGGGTGGAATGGGGAGAAAATGGGGTGAAATGGGAGAACATGGGGAGAAAATGGGGTGAAATGGAGAGAAAATAGGTGAAATGGAGAGAAAATGGGGTGAAATGGGAGAAAACAGGGAGAAAATGGGGTGAAATGGGGAGAAAATGGGTGAAATGGGGAGAAAATGGGGTGAAATGGGGAGAAAACGGGGAGAAAACATGAGAAAATAGGGAGAAAATGAGGTGAAATGGGGAGAAAATGGGGTAAAATGGGGTGAAGTGGGAGAAATCAGGGAGAAAATGGGGTGAAATGGAGAGAAAATGGGGAGAAAATGGGGTGAAACGGGGAGAAAATGGGGTGAAACGGGGTGAGAGGGGCAGGTTCTCCTGTGGAAACATTCCCGGAGCTCCAGGCTCCGGGGAAACGGAGAATTCCCAAAAAAGGACTTTGGGAATTGGGGGGATTTGGGGCTCTCCCCCTCACCAAGGCCTTCTGGTCCTCCTCAGCCATTTTGAGCCGTTTTTGGGCTTCCTCGTAGGCCTGGGCAAGGAAAAGGGGGTGAGGACCCAAACCCCACTCAGAGCCCCAAAAACCCCTCAGAGACCCCCCAAACCCCA